TTGGAAGACAACTTGCAAGATTTAGGATGCTCAAATTCTAGCTTGGAGAAGAAGCTACACCTTTATAGAGAGAAGTTAGAGATTTTGTGTTTAGATTGTAGGTGAATGAAATGAAGGGATGTTGCTAGGTTAGCTTGAACCACAAACCTTAGGTAGAAAGACACCTCTACCCTTATTAAAGTTGGAAGAATAAGGAAAGAAAGGCACAACCCAAGAAGCATAATGTACAACCCTTTGACCTTGAATGACTAGTTAAATTCTAGTCCCTCGACTATTGAATTTAAGGATTTTTAGGAATAAATTAACAAAGAGAATAGGATTAATGCTCTAATTAATCCTTGATTAGAGTTTGAATTTACGGGGTGTCACATCCTCTCCCCCTAACAAGAAGCTTCGTCCTCGAAGCTTGGGCACAACGAGTTCAAACAAACGGGAAACAACGAATCAACCATGTGAAAAAAGGAAAACAAAAATACCATTTATCCAAAACTTCAAGGATACAAAAGGTGTAATGTAACAGCCCGTGTTACGGCCTTTAATCCCGGAGTAAATATCTAACTGATTCCATTAATAATAATTAGAAAAGATTTAACTTAGTTAGGATTTCCTCTAATTAATTGATGTGGCCTACCATGGAACATGGACCCGTATCCTTAAACCAAATCCTTAATCCTATAAGAAATAGGATAAGTGGATCCCTACTATTCAGACCCAAGTTGGGATTCCTAAATCTATATATAGGGACTTAGGAAGCATTTAGAAACGCTACCACAGTTAATTCTACCACACAAGATATTTCTAGGAACCCCCCTGCCACCAAACGTAGGAGAACCCACGGGAAGAAGATCTTAGAGAAAGAACCTTAGTAGCCAAGGATATTGATTAAGGCTAAGAGGTAACCCATGTCTCAACAAAACCTATTTTCCTCACTATATCTTATTCACTGGCTCCTTTGATATATGATTCTGTGCTTGAGTCTTGATAGAGCTTTGCCTAAGGTTTATATTGTATTTATGTGATAATCTTGATGTTTATGTGGTAATCTTGATGTTCTCGATACGATGATCTATTATATGAACGATCTTATATTTTGATTATGTCTAGAGCCCTAGGGTTATAACATGGATTTCGTATTATGATATTCTTAGTGTGTTTGGGTGGGATTTTGCATGATCGGGTGTTGAGTCTAGCCTAGGACTTGTGTTTAGGTCTTGCATATAGAGTTCTTCATGTTCTTGTGGTTCTGGATGCTCCTGGACCATTATATGATTGATGTTAGGTCCTAGCATGTTTAGGAATTGTGTTTGAACGTATTTGTTGTGATTCTTGGTTTAATTCCGTTACTTGAATACGTGGTGTTGTCGTTATTGTTTGAATGTGTCTGGACATGGTTTCGGGTTCCACGAAAGATCCCGGGACCGAAATATTACATACAAGTCAGTAGGGGGTAGGTGGGGGTAGGGGTTCCCGCCACCTACCCGCTGCCCCTTGCCAGGTTTCCAGCGGGCAGCCGGCGGGCAGGCGACTGCCCGTCGGGTACCCGCTGGAAACTATAGCCGCCGCCGGCGGGTGGTCGGCGGGTGGTCCTCCACCCGCTGGAAAAGTGGTAGGTATTGTGATGTTTTCTCCGTGTCCCGTTGTACCTCGTTTGTCGTGTATGGGTCTCGTTTGGTGTTTTAGGTATTGTTCTAGGATTTTATGTGTATTACGTGTCATTGTTGTTGTGTCTTGCTTGTTACGTGTTTATGTGTTGATTGATTGATGATAATGAGTATTGGGGTCATTGCGCAATGACCAGTGTGACTAATAATGATGTTAATGATGATGATGAGATTGTGATTGGTGGAAAATAAACTGTTGGCGGTTGGCACCACTTGTGCCAAGTCATTGTACTAAAGGTACAGGCCATAGCGGCGACTGTGCTAAAGGCACACACCCACCTTCGACTTGCTTGCTTTAGGCATGGGTCAGGTTATAAGTGTTGCAGTGTCATGTTAGAGCTATATGCGCTAACCCCTTGATATTGGCACTAAAGGTGCGGATCATTGAATGGCACTACGACACCATCTTGATATGTTGGTGGTTGAAAGGTGGGTTCGTCGGTGGGGGCATGTAGTTGCCCGGAGGCATAAGTGGTAGGGATATAAGGGTGGCCTAGAGGTATAGGTTGGAATTGATATAAGGACGGGGGAGAGTTATACGGTTGGAACTTGGTATAAGGTTGGAGAATAAATTGTGTGCGTTGTTGACTACTTGCCGTTTGATTGTATTGAATACCTTAGTTAGTTGGATGCTTACCTGCCTATTATGTCTTGCATTGCATGTTTAGTTCTTATGATTATTCTATGATATTGAGTCTATTAATATTCCTTGAGTCTTGATCTTGGATTTAAACTAGAGTCTCGTAAGTATATATGTATTCCAGTTTCAAAATGAGTTTCTTATATCTACCTATATTGTACTTAAGGCGTTGGAGTGGGTTACCAGCATTATTCGCTGACGGTTGTTATACCGAATGTTTTTCAGGTGATGAGCTTTAGCTTCGCAGCACGCTAGTTAGAGCCTTGGCTTAGTTTAGTTAGTCTTAACTCAGTCGATGGCCTACGTGCCTTGGGATTGTATTGAATACTGATTTGAGGATTTCTTATGCTTGATTAGTTTAGCCTGTGCACCTAGGTTCTAAACCTAGGTGTGGCATAGCACCCCGACTCTTATGGATAGTATTATGCTCTATTTGGGAATTAAATCAATGGATTCGCCTTTATTTTACAAGTTTTAAATATTTCATAATTAGGGGTGTTACATGTAAGGTTTGCAAAAAGTCAAGACATTGCAAGGTTTTAATAAGATCACAAAAGTAATTCCTTGAGCAACACAAACGCTAAGGCCAAGACAACGACAACTAGAGTCTTCTAAACCACACCTAAACTCAAGCAACTGAATTCTACCTAGGCAAAACACTAAACTAACTATCCAAGCAGCTAACTAACAAACAGGATAAGAAAGAAAGAGCAACAATCACAACCAACAAACAAAAACTACTAAACGGACAACAGCAAACGAGAAGGAAACGAGCTTACCCCAACACTAGTTTAAAAGAACTCACTCTCCGACTCCTCGGCATCCTCGTCCGAGTCTTCCTTAGCTCTACCACGGCTAGAACTGGCCTACAACTGGTCCAATCTCTGGTTGACAGCGACGAACTGAGTCTTCATGAAAGCGAAACCTTCCTCTATCATCCGGTTCTGCTGACGAAGAAGGGTGACCACACGCTCCTCGTGTGTCATAGCATCATGCTCCGATTTGGTTCTCGCTTCCTTTCTCCGTATGTTCTCTTCACTTTCGGAGTCGCTCTCCTCGACCTCTTCGGCTTCTTCTCCACCTTCTTCCTCTTCCCGTTCCTCTTCACCTGCACCCCAACATCTCCTCCCAAGCTCTGAACCGTTAGGTTCAACTTCCCAACAGGAATTTCGAGCTCTGCAACCAACAAACTCCTCTCAGCAGGGGCTTTTCTGGCGACCTCTTCAAGAGTAATGTACTCTCCATCATCCAGCTGGAACAGGTTGCAACTACGGAGGTTTGTGGCATCCAAAACCATCTTGCCCACCGACTTAGGCACACAACCAACAACACTCACTCCCTTTTTAGCAAAGATCCAGCTTAAAACCATGCCATAAGGCAAACTCTTGCGGTTATGATCTTGACAAAAGATCATGTGTTGCAGCATTAACGCAGGCAAGTTGAACTTCACCATATTTTCTTCAGACAAAAAGCAAACGTGCACTCCAACTTTCCCAACAAACGACTCTTATTATTATTGGGCAACAAACAGTCAGAAACAAGCATGACAAAAATCTGTTGTTCAGCAGATAACCACTTCCTCTCCGGTCTCATGGCATGAGTAAAACCACTAGCTCTTCCAAAAAGGTAACTCAGATAATTCCGATAACTCATGTTATCCGTCTCAATCCAAGAGTCACCACTATACTGCGAGACTCCCGTAGTTGTTAAACTCAAAAGCTGAGCCAACCTTTTCTCAGTCAAAACAAGCTTTACACCTCCCACCTTAGAGGTAAACTCCAACCTTCCACTATCTTTAGTCACACTCATGTGACGGTAGAATTCTTTCACCAAGCTTGGGTAAGTCTCGGTCCTAATGGCGAGAAACCCATCCAACAACCCTTGGTAGTTCAAAATTTCCAACAAAGAACTCGAAAAAGAGTCGGGGTCAAAAGCTTTACCTTCCAAGACTAGGTACTGGCCATCCACCCATTCCACTCTTCTCATCAAATTAGACCTCCTAGGCATAATTTTGAGATGAACCAAACTTCATCCTCTTTTCTCTTCCTTTTTCTCTCTTTCTTCTTCTTGCTTGACTTCTCGGCGAGTCGGACAGCAGGTCACGGCGACGGCGGCGGCTTCAAGCTGCGACGCGGCGACGACTTCGGGCGGTGGTTGAACGGCGACGGCAGGGGGTGACCGACGGTCGGAGGGTTGTCGACGGGTGGAGGTGGGTCGGCTGCTACTCGCGGGTGGGGGAGAAGACAAGAGGGGAAGGGTTTTGGGAATTTGGGGAAATTTGGGAGGAAAAAGATTTTAATTTGGGGATTTTAGGTAGGTTGGAAATTATAGATTAAAAGGAGTTTAAGTGGGATAAAGTTCAAGAAACACAATTGGTTTAGATGGTTCAAGGGTTGGGTTAGAAACTTGTACACTTGGGTTCGAATTAAATCCTTTTAGCTTTTTAGGCTTCACTTGTAGGGATTTCCTAAAGGTTGACTATTCCAAATTTTAAGTTAACAAATTAGGCTTAGACGACCCGAAAGAATGAGGTTTGAGTTAAAAGTACACTCGTAAGGCTTCGGGATTAAAATTAACATTAAACCACTCAGAATCAACAAGCAAACCACAAGAGAATACTCACTCGAAAGATACAAGAGAACCACACAGCAAAGGATAAGGAAACACAAGAAAGGCATACTCTCAAGGTAAAGGTAAGCTTAAGATAGGTTACCTGCCATCTCTTCCTCCACCAAACCCTCAGACTCGGCCTGAGACAGGCCCATCACGAACACTCGGCCCGAAGGCTTTGCCCCAGCTACACCTCGACTAGAACTCCCTCCCGAGGGTCCACTAGGTCTCACACCGGATGGCAAGGCTCTCTGATTAGCTTGGAGAGGACACACGAACGCTTTGTGTCCCCTTTCTCCGCACTTGTAGCACCGCAACGCGTTCCCTTGGCAATCCTTCCTCACATGGTCCTTCCCACATCTCTTGCATGCAAAAGTCCTCTCTTGAGCTCCACTCTCGACCCGAGTTGGTCCTTGAGGCGGAGAGGGGGCGGGGCTGGCTCGGAAGTCTTGTCTCGGCTTCTTGAAACTGTGGGACCCACATCCTTCATTCCTCCTCTTGGCAAACTCAAACGACCCTCGCTCTAGCTGTTGCACACGATACAGATCGGCTGCGCTCAGATAAGCCTCTTTCAGGGTCCTCGGCTTGCTCACAGTTAACGCCTTCCGGGCTTCATAGTTGAGCCCCGCCACAAACTTCTCCACCTTTGCGAGCTCGGTGGGGACCAACATCCTAACAAAACGGGCAAGCTCCAAGAAGCGCTTGTGGAGATGCAAGAACTCCTCGTACATGGCGGCTCGGACGTGCGATGGATAAAACCTCTCCCTCATCCTGTCCTTCAAGGCTGTCCAGTCGAAGTCGGGTTCTTCTTGACACGCGGGACCCTCGTGTACCCACCAGAGATCGACCTCGTGACTGAAGTAGAAAGAAGCCAGCTCTAATCGGCGATCCTCGGGGCAACCCACAACGGTGAAGATCTTATCGAGGGAACGGATCCACTCCTCGAGTATCACTGGGTCCTCCTCTCTAGCGAACACCGGTGGCCTATGTCCCGAGACTAAACGTCCCACATCCCGATTCCCGGCAGGCTGCGGCTGAGGTGCAGGATGATTGTTGTGCAGAAGGGCTTCACTTAGTGTCTGCATTGTTTGCGTTAGATGTTGCAAGTTTTGAGCCAGCTGCTCGTTGGTCGGTGTCTTGGGCGTACGGGCGTGATGGCGAGGCGGAGCCATGGCGATACTTCTACAAAAACAACACGGTTACGATAGGCACAAACAAGCATCGCACCCTTACCTGACGCTAACTACGAGAATGCTAAAACGAAACAGGAGCAACAAAGTAAACATAACAAATGGTAAACAACAGACAGCTCACCACGCGTCCTAAAAGTCCTAAGTCCTAACACTCAGATACTTAAAGGTCATCTTAGGGTCTCAAACCAGACTTAACTTCTTAAAGTTCAGACTCTAACATCCTAGGCTCAAACCTAGGCTCTAATACAACCAACTGTAACACCCCCGATTTTTACCACATTTTTAAAACTTAAATGCAAGAGATAAACAATCTAATCATCCGTAATCATTAAGCGGAAGCAAGTTATACGGGGGTGTAACACCCCAGATTTTCAAGGCTTTTTAAAACTTATAATAAAGGTAGAATCTCATTAAATCCCAAGAAATAAATACAAGCGTACGGGGTGCTATGCCACACCTGGGCTAGAGAACCCAAGTGCACAGGCTAACTAACTAATATCCTCAAAGCGTAATTACGTCAACGTGGCACGCAGGCCAAAAGGGAAAACTGTCTACTTCTATACTCCAAGTTCTAGCGCGCTCCAGTGACTTAATCTTCTGTGCCTGAAAGCCAAATATATCTGTTCAGCGAGAGATGCTGGTAACCCACTCCAACGCGTTGAAATACGATACATATAGAGGTATATATAGATATACGAAAACCATTTTGAGCATGAAGATATATCCTACGAACACTAGCTTTAAAACCGTGAATGACTCGACAGATAAGGCCAGACACAAGCACAGTTATAACGAGCATATGCAGTTCACAACAGATAAGGCAGATAAGGCAAAGCATAAACAATGATCATAACCCAACATGAACAATCCCCAATATAAATCCCATAGTCACATTCCCCAAGACACTCGTAATCACAACTCGTCCATGTCACCACACATAACACACTTTGTTGGCGCCACAGGACCAATCGCATGCCCATACATGAGGGTCAGCGCATATAGCTTTGACACGGCCCCGCAGCACCCTGCCCCGTATCGCAACACGGAGGGGTCGATCGCAACCGACCGATGAACCGCAGCTCATCATAGTGTTTGATCGCAACCAAACAGTGGACCGCAGCCCAAGAGAATGTCATCTGACCGCAGCCAGGAAAAGGACGAACCGCAGCTCGTATAGAAACGTTTGATCGCAACCAAAAGGTGGACCGCAGCCCAAGAGTATCAATCTGACCGCAGCCAGCTTCTGAACCGCAGCTCAGGATAACCAATCCGATCGCAACCGAATTGGGGTAACACACACATAACACATAGCAAGCACATGCAACCCACATTACACATTAGGAAGGGGGAGAAAACGTATAACAAAACCTATGTGTGATCCATCACATACTAAGAATAGTCCTAAGGGGTTCATACTCCTTCCACCTAGGTCAACGGGATACCAATTCAACTAGCATGCAATACAATAGACTCATAAACCTACGAACGGTACCCGAAACATCAAACTAGACATAGGCACGATAAATGGAGTCCGTTGGGGCACCACGGGGAACGGGGTTACATCAAACGGGGAAGCCGGGATCCCGGGTGGGATGAATTTCCAGCGGGTAGCCGGTGGGTGGGGGCCACCCACCGGCTGCCCGCCGGATAATACTGTTCCGGGCAGCGGGTCGCCGGCGGGCAGCTGCCCGCCCGCCGGCTACCCGCTGCCGGGCGGTGTTTCTCGGCCGTGGGTAGGTGGCGAGTCCCCTACCCTCCACTGACTCTTTTCACACAATAACGTCCCGGGAACCTTTATGGAACCCGAAACCATGCTTAGACACTTTACAACGCAACTAATAACTAACACGTAGACAATTAACGGATCAAATACGAGAAACGTACGGCACATAACCTATCATGCTTTTCTAAACATAAACAACACCCGAACATGCGATTTCCCCACCCGATAAACCAAGAATAATATCATACGATACAACCTAGGGTTCTAATCACTTTTATATCAACAGGAATACGATTCGTCTTCTAATTGCAAGATTCGGTAAGAATAACACATAAGCATCAAGAGCATCACACAATTATCAAGGACAACACATAATCATCAAGAACTCCATATAATCATCAAGAACTCCATAATCATCAAGAACTCCATAATCATCAAGAATCTCCCAATATCAAGATTATCAAGATCCCTCATGGGACCATCACATCAAACATCAATAATAATCATCATATCTCGCCAATACCCAATAATATGGGGGAAACCCTAAGGGGGAATCATAGCTATGAAAATAGGTTTTGTTGAGACATGGGTTACCTCTTAGCCTTAATTAATTCCTTGGCTATGAAGGATCTTTCTTTAAGCTTCCTTGCTTTCTTGATTTCTCCTAAGGGGATTCTTGGAGCTCTTTTGGGGTGGTGGGGCGTTATTCTTGTGGGAAGTTCTAGGTGCCTCCTAAGTCCCCTATTTATATATTTAGGAGTCCTAATTAGGAACTAATATTATAGGCTCGCTAATTCTATTCCTTTTGGAACTAAGGATTGGGTTTAGGGGTTGGGTTTATATATGAGGGCCCATAGACTATGGTGGGCCTTTTTCCCTAATTAATCATTATGATTTATTCCTTATCTTGGGCTATTGATTGATTAATTAAATGGTTTTATGGGCCGTAACACGGGGTGTTACACTCTCCCCCCCTTACAAGGGGTTTCGTCCCCGAAGTCCGGTGTTATAGTCCATCCTTTCACCCCTAGACACCTCGTAGCTCGGCCTCCTGATTAGGGTTGCGGCCTTACGTTTGTCTTGGCTTGGGGTAGGCTGAACTTTTAATGGTGTTGTGATGAAGAAGTTTTCGGTTGTACCTCGGTTTCCTGCGCTGGAACTGGGTGCACCGCGAGTGCCCAAGGCGGCCTCGATCGCTGCTACCCTTTGATCGAGTGCGCGTGTGGTGCGAATCAGGGATGAGAACCCTTCTTCCATGATTTGATTCTGCGGGTCGAGCTGTGCGAGTATGCGTTCGTTGACCGAACCCTCGTCTTGCCCCCTCGGGTTCCCTCCTGGCTGTGGGTGCACTGACGGGTTAGGCCCGTCTTCCTCCTATTGTCCTTCATTTCCCTCCATGCCTCCGCAATCTTGCATGGCCCGCTTGAGCTTTTTGTTGGAGATGTCCAACAGATCAACCAATTCCCTACGTTCCTCCTCGGGTTTTTGGCAAATTTCTTCGAGGGTGAGATAGTGTCCTCCTTCGGTGTAGTAGATGTCGTTGCGGCGGAGGTTTTGGGCATTGAAAACCATGCCATTGGCGGTTTTGACCTCGGTGTGGCTTAGGTCTACCCCCTTTTTCTCCATGATCCAACTTAGGATCATCCCATAAGGTAGGCTAAGCCGGTTGTTTGTTTTGCAGAACTCTATGTGCTTTAGCATGAGTGCCGGCAGGTTGAACTTGATTTTATGTTTTAGGATATACGCAAAGGTGCACTCCAAGCTCCCCACATCCTTGCTCTTGTTATTGGTGGGCAAGAGGCTATCGGTTATAATCATAACCAATATCTTTTGCTCCGCCGATAGCCACTTTCGGTTTGGTCGAGTGGCCGAGGTGAACCCGTCCTCTTTCCCGAGTAAGTACCCGAGATAGTCTTTGTATCCCGTAGTTTGGGTATCAATCCACCCCTTTCGGTCATAGTTAGACACACCCGTGGTGGTCAATTTCAAGAGCTTGGCCAACCGGCCTTCGGAAAGCACAATTTCCTTGCCACGGACCTTGGTGGTAATTTCTACTTTGTCACCCCGTTTGGTGGCCACAAGGTGTTGGTAGAATTCTTTCACCAATTCGGGGTATGTGTCCCCTTTGATGGCGAGGTAAGTATCTAAAAGCCCTTGGTGTTTGAGCATGTCAACCAATTCCGGAGAGAATTGGTCGGGTTCAAGTGCTTTACCTCCGATTACGGTGTAATCGGCGTTGCTCCACTCCGGGGTACGGATTCCGAGGGGTTTCTTTGGCATCGTGATATGTGGACTTTTCCGGCGAGTTTTCCGGCAGGCCTCCGGCGAAATTTCCGGCGAGCCTCTTTTCGATGGAGGTTCGAACTGCGGCGATGTGGCGCCGGTTGGGGTGGAGTCCGGCGATTGCTCGGCGGGCGGCGGGGGTCTTCGATTGCGTGGGGCGTTGATAGCAGCGGGCGGAGCTCGGGTGGATGGCGGGTGGCGTCCTCGGTGCTGCGGGTGGTCTCCGGCGAAGTTGTTCGGACGGCGGTACGGTGGTGCGACGTCGTCGGGGCGTGGTCGGGTGGTGGCGGCGTCTGATCGGCGGTGGTGTGAGAGGTGGGTGGTTTCACGGGTAGGAGGTGGTGGTTTGTGTGGGAGGGGAAGAAGGGAAGGGATTGGGGAAGAAGAAGAAGAAGAAGGGTTTTTGATTTGGGGGTTTTGTGGGTTTTAGGGACTTGGAGGGGTTTAACAAAAGAGTATTCCCTTGAGGTTTCAAGAAACACTCATGGCTTGGTGGTTGGAGCTTGGACTTGTAAGTGTGGTCTAGAGTTCAATTCTTAATGGCAACATTAGGTATTTCTTAATGGTATGATTTTTGTCCTTTTCCTTGTTTTGTCCTTTAGTGGGGGAAGGGTTGGGTTGATAGTGTAACTTGTTCTTTACCTCCGTAGTGGAATTGAAATTCGATCAAAATCTTTATTCATAATACTTTCGAAATAGCTAAGCTAAATAAGTGGTCTTTACGACACGAGGGTGATTACAAGGGGTGTGAGGGTTTATCCTAGACAGAACTCGTTTTCTGGGTTTTCTTCTGTGGGATCCGTATGGTCCTCGTCCTCCGGGATTGGGTTTCCCCCTTCCAGGTCCTCTTCGTTTCCGAGGTTGGCTTGAGTGTGGCTCATAACGAATACCTTTCCGGGAGCGCCGTAACTTCCTTGATGACCGGTGCCCCCGTGTTGGCCCACGGTGGCGGGGCGCGGTCTTTGGGTCGAGT